AAATAATTATTTATTAAATAATAATTTAACATTCATATATCAATATTTATGTAGTAATTAATTATATTAATTATTAATTAGTTATATTTCAAGCAAATAAATGAAAATTTAATATATATATATACTTACACACGCACACGCACAAATTAACTAATAATTACTTATTATTTTGTTAAATAAGTGAATATTTAATACGTTTTTTTATTAATTAACTATCAAATAATTAAATAAATATGCAACTAACTACAATTAATATAATAATATATTAATTATTAATCAATTAATTCCACAAAAACATCGGCTCCTTCTCCTTCCCCTGCCGGCCGAAACCCTCTCTCCCCCGTTTACAGGTTTCGCCCAAAACCATCGCCGTCGTGACCTCCGAAACTCCCATCTTTCTCCTTTCGCTCCGCTCCGCTCCAAACCCGAAACCTTTGAGGAAGGTGAGCTTATTAGAGCCATTATTTGCTCTTCCCCGATTCACAAGGATTCAGTAAATCCTGGATTTACGGCTAAAATCCGTGAAGTCCGGATTTGTCAAATCTGCGGCTTTATTTGTCCAAACTGACCGTCTGGCAAGATTTACGCCCAAAGCCAGGTTAAATTCTGGCTAAATCCTTTGCCAGACAGCCCCTAAATCCCGGAGCAAGTTGGGTGGATTCAGGAGATTTAGCAGAAAGAATCGCGGGAAGGAGAAGATAGGGGAAAGAATACCATGGATTTGGTTTTTTGGGGGGAATAATTTGTACATACACGATTTAGTTATTTGATTGTTTGGCTATAGAAGTCTCTTTCAAGTTGTAAATAAAACTTTGATGGAAGTTGTTCTCCAATTATTTTAATTACTGTATTGTACTCATGATTCTGTGTATTTGTTTCCATATAGGTTGCCATTGTAGTTTTGTCCTCGTTGAAAATCTGAACAAGCAAAAGGAAGCGAAGTTAGCGGACATGGCTGAAGTAGTAAAATCTGACATCTGGGACCAAATTGAGCTCTCGGAAAGGTATAATTTTACCATCTTCTTGATTTTGTTTCATCTACGCCTTCAGTTTATTCATACTTTATTTATGTTGGAAAAGCTGTTATTTTGGTAGATTGTCCAGTTTTTTTGCATACAAACACATTAAGTATTATTTGAAAATAGGTATATGGTCTGTGGCCTTTTTACTGAAGCTTGCTCCCTCGCTTCTTCTCAAATTCAAAATTTAAGGACCTGTTCCTTGGAACAAATCCCTGATATTGAATTGTCTGGAATGATTGAGTCAGCTGGAATGGTGTTTGTTCAGTCATTGAGAGAATTGGGAAGGACAGCTGAATTGTTTGCTGAGCTTAAAATACTTTTTGGTTCAGTGGAAGCAATACCAATTCGTGTATTTCTAACGGGGACCTGCTTGCAAATATCTGAAGGAATAACTTCAAATCTTAGAACAATCTTTGAAGATTTTCTTAAGAAATGGAGATATGTGGATAACGATCATTATGTATTTCTTGAAGAAGACAATAATTTTTCAAAATGCCCATGGCAATCAGTTATGGATTCAGAAAAATATTTAGAAGTTGCAGAAGTTTTTGCTATGGTTCTCCTTGGGAAGGTTCTACATGAGCCTGAACTTGCCATTTCTTGGACAGAGAAATTAGATATGCCTGAAGATAAACGTCAGGTATGGTGTTTGATTTTTCCTCTTGAAATATAAGATATTTCATTAAAAATTCTGCTAAATTCAATAAATTTGGTAGTAAAGAAACTATGGTAAATTACGTTTGATTTTTTGTGGTTAAGTGCCTACTTGGGGTAGCTGTAAGTTATTAAAAAAACTGCGCAAAAGCTGTTTCTATATAAATGATATTTGTGCTCATGTGGTATAGTCCTGTTTATAACAAAATCAATTTTGCCAGCATATTTTATATTTGAAAATAAATATCCAGTTTAAATGTTATAAAATAAAAACTAGCACCGCACAAAACAACAACACAATAATCAAAATTAAAAATATGACTATTAAAATAACAATTCATAATATCATGATATTGTTTTTAAAATGCAGTTGATTAATGTCATCAGATAATCCTTCATCCAATGAAACTCTTTACGTCTGTTCACTATCGGTGGTGGAATCCTCGAACTGATCCGCCCACCTAAAGAAGTTGCAGTTCATTGTTCTATTCTTTGGACATCTGTAAAATTGTCCCTCTTAGTTGTGTGGTTGTCGGCAAATAAATATGAAACATTGTCACAATAGCAATATAATGTTTTGGAGGTATCATAAGTCTTCGAGCTCAT